TTCAACTATGGTGGAAATATATACGAGAATTAAGAAAAAAACCAACGATAACTATTGAGCAAGAAATCATAACCAAATTTTGAAAAAAAAAACAATCAGATGTGTATATTTCTTTTTTCTTTGTACTCACAATTTATTGTTAATACTTCTTTTTATTTGATCTGGTATCATTGTTTGTTTTTGTTTCTTTTTTAATAAATTTAACAAGTCAGTTAATATCTTGTATAATCTCTCGTTTGATTTGCTCTAAGTAGTGATAAATCTTGTTGGTATAACTTGTCTCTCATTACCACGAAAACACGTACATAGGACAGCTCTTTTGTTGAATTAAAAAATTCAATACGTGAATTCAACTTTTAAGTTGGATACTACTAAAGATTTAGTATCTTTTAATTGTTTTATTCAAACTTCACGAGAAAAATCACGCAAAATAAGAATAAAAATAAAAGAAATGAATATCTTTCGCGATTAATCATATTCGTTTTTTTTGTTTTATTCCATCTTCTAACAGATTGTGTATTTGATGTAAGAGCAGCTGGACATGAAACTTCTTTGAAAGTCATTTTTGGATTATCAGCATTCTGAAACTAATAAAATCTCCAGAAGCAACCAGATCGTAAAACAGCTGGTAAATTGTTACATTATGATCGTTGACGAATACCATCAGACTGTGCACCCCATAAAGGTTCACTGACTTTAGGAAATTGACTTGAACATCCATCGAAAATATCTACTCCACCACTAGGCATTTGAAGATCAAAATGATTTTCACCAAGATCATCACCTATAATTGTTATTTGTACAATTAATTCTTTGACAGCAACAGGACCTGTTGTAAATATTTATGAATAACAAGCACAACATCAATCTGATTATCTTTGACCCTATTTTATAAATCATAAATGCATATATCATCAACGAAACAAACAATATCGTACAGTTTTATATGCAGCAGCATAATCATATGAAAGAGTAGAACTAACATTTCATGTTTGTTAATTATCACATATATAAGCACTACTACCATTAAAACCTGATTGAACATTAACATCGACTTGTTTAACCCCAATAACGAGTTGTTACATCATTTTTTTGACCAGTATTTGATGGTGATGATGTTGTTGCTGAATGAGGTGTATTGCTAGAAGATCCTGATCCTCCAGATGATGAAAGAGATTATGAATAATGAGCATTCTGAAAAATACATTTTGACACACTAGAATATTGTTTTGGACCTGTCCAGTTGATTCCATCATATTGTCCATATAGATCACTACAATCTCCTTTGACAATACTACGAAAACTGACAATGTTTGAATATGAGAAATACTTCAATATTTTAACTTAAAATCATTTCTAAATGTTTTACATTAGTTGGTGAAAATAAAGATTATGAATAAAGTATTGAGATCTTGAAAATGTTTTCTTACTTGCGCTTGATAGATTTAAGACGATAATCAACGAAATAAAAGTCACTTTGAACATTCTTTCTCTTAAATGTAAGAAGAAAAACATCAACAAATTTTAGAATGTTCATAACAAATGCATTCACTTACTTGTAGCAATGAATATGAAAACTTTTTTCAAACTGAACGTGACTATATTATATATCTGAGTTAATATTTCATATTACTGTGTCACGATTATTTGAAGAAGGATGCTTACTTGAGAGAAAATTTTACAACCAAAGAAATGTCAACATACATGGAATTGTACTCTTTTCGATTGATAGAAAAAATGATAATCTTTTTGAAATAATATTGTATCGCTTATTAATTCCAAAGTTGTTTTTTCGATACGAGTATATTTGGATTGTCTGAAGTAAAATGACAATTGAAGATCACTGAGTAGACTCAGTTGCGTATATATCTTACATAGGTTTGTTTAGGATGAGCACATGAACGAAAATGACTTGTGCTAAATAATAAACCTTCTCTCTTCTTGCACTCGTTTTAAACTGATTTTGTTTTTTTTTATTTCTGCCAATGGGTAATATGAAGCTATATAAAACTTATTTTTCGAAAGTTTTCCAGTTTGTATTATATTTTAAATAAAAAATAAAAATAAAAACAGAAAAGTTCAATATTAATAGTACTCAAGAATAAAACAACTATCATATTACTGCTACAAAAAATTAACTGTCTATCATTAAATCATAATCTTAAATTATTTCAACATTATTCTTATATTCAACTGATTCATTCGAGTGATTTTTCAATTTAAAAATACTGCTTCAAAACAAACATAAGGTTCAAAATTTGAGTGTGTGAGGCGTGCATAATGATTTCCTTTTTACCACAGTTACACGCTCTACTCAGTCAATGAGACACGGTTGAGAAATTTTGGTTAAATAAATTTGTACGTGTTAATCATTTTAACACATTAGTATGTAAACAATCACTAGAACCTATTGAATAAACTGAAGAAGTCAAATTTTAAATTAAACACTACAAAACAACTGTTTGTAATTAAAAGTTCTATCGATTATGTAACAAAAAAAAATTGTTCTTTTTCCTCTCATATGAAGTAAATCGACTACAATTTTTCTCATATTCTCTGATTTTTTTATTTGTGATCTGTTCACTACTTAGTGAGTCATTTTCACCATAGATGTGCGTTGTATGTTTGTATTTTTTTCATTTCTATCGTTTTACTTTCTTACATTGCATTGGATAAAAACAATTTTTTTGCATAATTCGATTTCGTTATGTATTTGACGGCAAAGTTGTATCAAATGAGTAACATATTGATGAGTTCTGACGATTTCAACGTCGAAAAAGGACTTTGTAACTTGATTTGACACGGTAGATCGATCGAACTCGATAGATACCTTCGTAGACAAACTGATGTTTGCAATGTTTTTACAACAATAATTCAACAGAGCAATTAATACTTCAGTCTACTGATGTTGACCGCTCTCAACAAACATAATGAGGTAGTACCTATAATACTTTCTTGTTCTTGTGCCGGTATGGAACAAGTTGAACTCGAAGGGTCTGTGTACAATTCTGACGAGGGAATCTCTTGAGGTAATAAAAAGCTCTTTGACTGGGAATGTGATGGTTAGATAGGACATAGATAGGAGAGATATACCGTAAATTGGTTTGTATTCAAATTGCTTTTATCAGGAGTTATGAACTTTTCATGACATAGGCGTTTATGTCAGTTTTACCGTTGAATGAATCTTACTTTTGTTGAACGAAAAAACACGTGTTAAGTTTAAATATTTATTATGTCTTTTCCAAGTTGTGGTCTTGATTATTTCAAACTTGCAACTGAAAAGGTTAGGGTGTGATAGACAAAAAAAAATTATGTTTTCATGTTAAGAAATAATTTTTGTTGAAATATTCATTGATAACCTTAAATTATGTTGAAGTAGAGCACGTAATAATCTTGATTAAATTCTAGAAATATCAAATGAAATTGGCCTCTATAATAAATGAAAATAGAGCTTTCATGAAATTTGATTGTGCATAATATTTCAGAAAAACTATCAAAACATTGACAAATGTATTTAGTTGAATATGAAAAATGTCTACACTGTTCATGCAAACATTTTTTAAACGACAATTTTTCGACATGAGTAAAAGGTTTTGTACAAGAGCTTCTACTCATAATGAAAAATAATATACTGGTAAAGATGTACATCGAATATGTTAAAATATACTATTATAGTATTTAGTTTTGAGTTTATCATAAGCATCATTGCGTACATAATACCTATACTTGTAATGTTTTGGTCGTGTGAAATGAACAAGGTAGAAATTAAATTTTTTCGATAATCATATACGGAGATATCAGCAAACTGTGCAAAAGAATGAATATTTGTATTTTTGTCAACAAGCATAATGAGAACAGTGAAGAATTTTCCGCATTCAATTGTTCGAAATTGTGATGTGACGCTGACTCATTTAGATTCTCGTTGTAGGTTGTGCTGTATGGGCAGAAAAGGGGATGTGGGTTAGGGTTAGAATATGAGAATCCTATTCTACCGACAACCTCACGTCTACAGTTTACATCCACCGTCATGCTGGCATCCTTAGTTTCTAAGAGAGTAAGATAGATCAGTGAAATATAAGTAAAATATACTCATTTGTGATGTGTTCACAGATCGACTGACCACCTCACAAACTGCTTTGCGAAATGAGTACGATTGGCGAGCAATGCGTTGATATTGAGTGCTTAGTTGCTCTGTAGTCTACCACTGATAAACAAACTGAATTATTATGGTTCAAAACGAGCATATTAGGAGAATAGGACGTTCATCAAACTATTCATTTCACATATGACATGTATGGAATTGACCAACTCGTAATATTTTGTTAGAAAATCGGAAGATAAGTGTATAAGAGTGTTTGCACCATTGAGATTAAAAAATGAAGACGAAAGCAATCTATCAATTTATTGTTAGTCGCTTCTTGAATCAATCTTTGTTTGGTATATTTTAAACAGCTGAATAGTATAATAAAATGTAGAGTTCTCATGTAAATTGCATGACTCAATTTTCTCCACGCTTATGCAACATGCTGTGACTTGTGATTGGTCAATATATCTCCACAGAAAAGAATTCCAAAAAGTATCCGAGGACTTGTGAAAATTTTATTACATTCTAGAGAGTCTCGGACCCTCTTTGAAAGATTGAATTTCGACTTTGCATATTTAATCCTTGGCCTTTGATGTTTGGCACTAATGACAATCATATATACACACATTCACACAAAAGTACTTGTTAAACTATGGATGTAGACACGAATGTCGATATGAAGATGTGTGACTGTATCTAATATATATATCTTTTCTTCCACAAATTCACACTAACACTTACGCTGATATCTGCACTGTTCCAAACAATCTAGCCGCACCCACTTCCTCCCTCACACTACACGTAACATAATATTATACCATCTTACATATGTAAGCACACATTCGAACTGAAATCTTGAATTAATCAGTAGGAATTACAAAAAAAAAATGAAAAATCTTCAAATGTTCTTAGCGATCGCAGATTTGCATAGAGTGGAGTCTGATTACTGTACGGTTCTTGTTGCAGGATTTGCAAAAGCAATGGGCATAGTTTGTGCCTGTGGTACATAGACTATCTTGGGTGTTGGTACCGAAAAGCCTTGAGGTCGACGTCCATTTGTAATCACAATCATGTTGAAGATAGTTATGCATAAGGCAATAAAACTATGAATGAGATCGACGATCAATATTGTACGAAGGGTACCATAAAAACAATCCCAAGTAAACTCATACTTGCAATAAGGCATATGAACCAAAATAATTATAAAAACGATTGCGTTCAGCATACAGAAAAATAATTCAAAAACTACTAAAATAAACAGGCTGGTCAAAACGTACACTTCTTGACGGCACAAGTATAAGATGAGTATCCCAGTAATCAATAAATACACACCATTGATGATACCACCAAAGCTAGGCAGAAAAAACAATAAATATTTCTAATTTGATTATCATAGTTCTTACCTAAGCATTCTATTGGTCAAAGCACCTATGTCCAATCCAATTGAAACTAGTCCCGTGATAATATACAAAACTCCGCCAATACTCAATTTTGATGATACCGAGGATGAAGTTTGGGTTAATAGATGCATAAATGGATTGTTATTCATGTTGCTGGGATTGAACATAGGTACAGATGAAATTGTCATTGGAGGATTAGGATTATATGCCATTGTATACCTTTGTTGGGATATACTTTATATATGATATATTGTATCGTATCTAAAAATGAAAGTTGTATTACTCTTAGTAATGTGCTGGGCCAGGACTAGGCTAGGTCAATTTTACTCTAGTAAAAGTGCTTACCTTTAAATAATAGATGGGTTTCCGTCTCTAGAAAATTCGATTTTTCTTATTCCTATTCAAACAATAATTTTCTAAATGTTTCGAAACTTCCAAAATCTTTGAATTTTTTCAAGAACTGTTTATTGTTGAATGGGACTTACGACTAGGACTAGAGCTTTTCGAAAAAGACCTTGTGACAAAGACCAAAAAAGCATGCTTTTGCTCATCTTCAATAACTGTGGCAAAAATTATCTGTTGCTTGCTGTAGGTTTTTTCTGTATCTCACTGGATGAATATGCTGTTTAAAGTACACTTATAAGAAAAAGAAGCAAAGATAAACATTACTATCTGTATATAAAAATAAGTATTGCAGAAAGTGTTGATTATTGATAAGGACTCGCAGCAGGTGATGCACGATACCCAGTTTGCAGAAAGATATCGCACTGAAACAAAATATTCTGAGATATAAGAGCAAAACGAACCTATACGAAAGCAACTTGTATGAGTCAACAGTCTTATCGACATATACAAGGTGCTACAAAATCATTACATCTCTCTCTGTAACTTTCCGTATACAACAATTATTGGCTATAGAATTAATAAGAATTAATTTGAACTATATGCCACAATGAGCTCGTATTTTACGACTTTCATTTTCCATCTATATACTTTCAATAAAATAATAGCAGATTTCTGATCTTCATCAAAAACTAAATCTATAGAGATGCCATTTTTATATTTGTGATAAAAAAGAATTTTTCAAAAATACTCTTGGGGTAGGATATCGAAGACAGGATGTAGGTATAGCAGTGAATGTATTAGTACGAGTGTCAGGTGAACGTCTTCTTTTCAGTGATACCCACACTCACACCGTATATATTCGGTGCAAACTGTTTGCAGACGAAATCTCAAAGAAAAGCAAAGAATTATTTCAATAGCGCAAGAGAACAAAACGTAATCAAGTAATGAAAAAAGGCCTCAAATTCCTTTCCAAGAATATACCTTTTCAAATCAACTTGAACAAAGAGTCCTATCGTCTATCCTGAAAGTGTTACAAAACAAAACTCTTCGAATTTGGGCAGAACTACTACTGTCACTCTCATCACTCTTCAACCGTTCTCAATAGTCCTATATATGTTTGAAGTGCCGGTCAATCAAATATTTCCACCGTTGACTACTGGAGAATACAATGTACAGAGAGAGCAATGTGCTAGCATCTGAATCTTTTCGACTCTTTTGTAGAAATTACTCATGTTTTAGAATTTGCTTTCAATATTTATTAAAATAAAAATCACATTTCAGTATAGACAAAGAAAAGAAACCCACCTGTTTTGTGCTAGATAGTTAGATCGCATCGAAAAGAAATTCGTAGTTGTCCCTGACTTTGTTGTGCTTTCTTCGACGATTTCACAAGTCTAATTGCATAAGACTATGATTGTTCGTCTGTTCACAGGGTAAGATCTACAATGATTTGTCATTCTTTTGAACCAAGTGATAAAGAATAACGAGAAATTCTGAAAAATCTGAACAAGAGCCACACAATGACGGGTCGCTGAGTCTCATTACATGCTCGTATATAGGTATTGGTGTTATTCCGTCACATCAATCCGCGCCGTGTCAAAATTGTTCATGTTTTATTTCATTGATCCCAACCGAGATTTTTTTTCATTATCAAACTATATAATCAAAATACACAAACTGTGTCTATACACATCTATTCTTGCCAATCATTGTCAAAGATCTACGTAACGACAATCTCCTATATCAAGTAGTGTATGTAGTTGAATGGATAATATTTTACTTTTGTGATTGCAAATTTTAATCATGTAGTATGCTCATATTACCACTACATTATGGTACATGAGAAGCGATCTAGCCGTATCCAGCTGGTGGTTTCTCATTATTTCTGAGTTTCTTCGCTTCTCTCGTGCATCGAAAGTATCATATCACTTCAAGCTTTTGAATTGGAATTAGACAATGAAGACTTTTACATCCTTCATCGTTCTTCAAGTACTATCAACTCCCAATAATAAAAAGGACGACTAAGTGAATGATCTTTTTCGGTTTGTGAGTCGTCTGAAACTTGTATTGTTGTGATTTCAATCAAAATGGAAGCAGGAAAACAACAGAACAGGAAGCAAAGTTTCTTCTTGGTTAATGTGTCGCTTATATTGTAAAACAATGTACTGACTTAGATATATGTAGCCTATATTCAACAATGTACATGATTTTAGACTATGACATGACGGATGTAAAAAGGCAGACGCAACATGTTCTTTCAATAAGTCTCATATGCGGCAAAACTATGTTTATGACAAATAGGATATACCAGTAGAATATTATTAGAGATGGCAAGTGTCACGTTAGTTCAGAATGATATGTTCATAATTTTTCTGTGTTCATATCGAAGAACTGTTGAAGTTCTGATTGATGTATCAATTAGATTACAGTTTCTGAAATGATCTAACTGCAGCTATAGATTGAAATTGAACAACAACTACGGCGACGGCCGATAGACGAAATAAAATTGAAAAAGAAAAACATTTTAGATTCTTTCATTTATTTGTAGTACTCAATAACATTTAACCAAAAATATTGCAAGGAAAATATATTCATTACATAAGATGCATAAATTTTAGTGAAGAATTTCAAACGCAATCTTTCGATTAACAAGCAATATTTCAGTCAAATGTAAAATACAAGGGAAATTTTCAAAATATTTATCAACATAATTATTTTAGGATCATTTATTATTGTTCGATGGATATTGGTCAAATAGTGCCATGTGAAAATACAATTTTTTTCATCACAAAATAATCTAATTGATATTCATGTTAAAATCAGATTTATTGTTTGAAGAATTATTAATTGTTAGTCATCAATTTCATTTATTGCATATGAACATACGAAAGAGTTCAACTTATCATCCACCAGAAAAACAATCGGTTAAAAGTTTTAGAAATGTACCAGCACACAAACATAGAGTACATAAAAGTGATACTGCGAACCCAAGAAGAGCCGATTCATATGAAATCAATATAATAATATAAATAACAAAATCATATGTTTTTAATTGTTCCTTATTTTGCAGTGATTGACTAGCGTATACAACTCCAGTTATTAAAAGAATAGGGGCGTCCATGACGTTGAGTAATGATAAAAATGTTTCCCATACTGAATAGACAGTGTTTTCGCCTTCATTTTCTTCTTGACCAAGAGCACAACAATATTTAGCAGCTTTATCTATTGCAGATAAACCAAAGAATGTATTTAAAATAATTAAAATCTCATAGAAAGTATCACGAAATGATGATTGGTAAACAAGAAATAAAAATAATATTTGTGTTTCAAATAATAAACCATATAAGAATATACATGCTGGTAATGTACAACAACTTATTGCCAATCTTTGACAACGATCATGATCATCACCCCAAATACCGATTAGGCTAATTAAATGGAAAATAACTTCGAAACAAAAAAATAAAATAACTACAACGAGTAAACTATTGGTATTTGATAATAATTATAAATATGAGACTAGTTCATCAATTTCAATTGATATGCTGAATAAAATCATCAGTATTGGATGAACAAGAAGTGGTTTAAATACCAGAGCTCCACCAACACCAAACAATATAAAAAAGAACCGTTGTTGTTCATTTGCATCAAGATCGTTCTGTTTAGCAATAAAATAAACACCTAATTGTTCAGCAAGATTGAATATATCAATTAAAATTAACATTATATCAGCGATTATCATCCTTTTTTTCAAATTAACCATTCAGAATTTTTACCTAGAATAAATTTAATATTCAAACAATTGAATATCTATTTTTATGTTCAAGAAAAACTTATATTTAAAAGAACATATATTTTAAATATTTAAGTTTTTTCTTATGGTGTTCAAATTAATAATAAAAAAAAAGTTGTTAGCACAATTCCTGTAGAATTACCATGTAAAACACAATGTCATTGTTGCTACTAATTGCATGAGAACTCTTTTAATCTATTTGAGGAGTTATTTCTTTATCATCACTTAATAATCGTCTAGAACTGTAATCAGAAAGTATTTCATATATTTTAATGAGCTATTAGTGATAGAAGTATGGTCTTCAATCATGTACCAAAAATCTCTTTCCTAGTATTCAAGCAAGAAGGTGTGGTTCATTTTCCACGATATTTCATTCAATACTTCTTTCATTAATTAATCATCATGTATTCATCTAAGAATCATTATTATGCTGTTAATTAGTACATTAAATAAAGTATCTGTCAGAGAGTCAATGTCTTTTTACTCTTATATACTTCAACACTCTCTCTTGATTCTGTTTCACAAAATATTTTAGATTCGACCTTTATATAAGATTATTAAACTTATTTTTATTCGTGTCGAAATATGTTTAACATTTATTTGACTTTCCTATGAAGCAAACGAGGAAATCAGCCGAAAATCGATCAATAGAATATTTATTCAAACATTTATACTTAATACATGTAATCAATCAGTTCAATAAGATTTTTTCATTATAAAACGTATAAGGATAAACATAAAAATGATTCATTATAAAAAAAAGTCATTTTATAAAGTGATGATTCGTTGAAAATGTAATTTTAATCTAATCATTTGTAGAACATATAAAAATCATTGAATAGAATAGTACACGAAAATAACTTGATTTTAATACTTGTATCGTATTATTAATCTTCATTTAGAAGGATTTTTTTTATTAGATTATGGGTGATTTTTGTCTTCTTGACTAAAAAGAAAAATTTCTTAATGAAAATAAAATTTTGTTAAATAAATTTGTATTTTTTTTTAATGTACACACGATAATAGCAGATTCAATTTTTAATAAGAAAATCTTTAAATAATAAATTTATTTAAAATTTGAATCAATATTTTATATCTCGTGTGCATGCAATTGAGACAATATTTCACTGAAAATTATCTTCATATAAGAAATAATCTTTCCCAACAAAAAGAATATTGCTACACTTTTACATTTATTTGTTATTCTATCTTGATAAAAATCTTCTCACATGATGTAAACAATTGAGAAAAACTATTTTTTTTTACAGTAATCAATTAAAGAAAAGAATTTAACATTACAAACTCTTTTGTTTATCTATTCGAAATTTTTCTTCGATAGAAAACCTTATTTCAATTAATTTAACATAGTCTATCCATAGATATATTCTATTATTAAATAAATAAAAAGCAAATAACCTAATTAAACAGCTTCATTCAAAAAGATATAAAACGATTAGAATTCCTTTTGTCGGTAGTTCTTTCACTCTGAACTTAGTAGACCTAATAATTGTACGACAGTAAATATCAACAATTGAAAAGCGCGCTCGTCTAGTAAGTTTTTTGAGCCAACATTGAAAACAGATTAGCAAGAAACTAATTTATCGACTGTTGACTCTTGTGTAAGCCATTATGGTTCTGTCATAAGCAAAATCATGAACCTCTTTTTATTCTCTTTTTTATGCAGGCTGTTGATGGAATGCCAGATCAAGTCGAAACATTGACATTTTCTATGATATATGTTGTTGTGCATTTGAATTCAGATTTTAATTTGGCATCAAATTCTATTATTTAGATTTTAATTTGCACTTCTATTAGCCGAACCATCATTTCAGTTTGGTAAAATAATATGAGAGGATTATGGGAAAAACATGTTTCATGAGCAAAACAGTTTTATTCAAATCGTTGAAAGCATTATTACTAAATTAAAAACTATTTTTATAGAATTGGTTTAATCAGTGAAATTTCAAATCTATTTTTTGATTGATTCCATTTCTAATTTTTGCATATCGATCAATGAAACTTCTACTTTTTCTAACAGATATTATTGATAATTTTATGTAAAAGATTTTTCTATGATAGAAATATTCAATTAAAAAAGATCGTTGTGTTCAATCAATAAAATAAAATGAAAAATGAATCAAAAGAAAACTCTATGAAAAATAATTTGGACAGTGAACAGAAAACTTTTTCCTAACGATTTAAAATAAATTTCGATGGTTTAATTCTACTCCGAGAAATTAATTCGTTGTTTCATTTTTGCATTAAATCAAATCTGATGCGACTTTCTATGTTCTCTTGTGAACTTAACACAAAAAAAATTTCATTGTCTTGATTAGAGGTGATACATGCAATCAGAACTTTCGTTGCCAATTTGTCGATCTTACTTGAGCCATAGTTTTACTCTCAATGCTATTCCTCGATATTGTTCGTTGACACAGTTATGAGATGTGCACAAAGTACCTTAGGAGTACAATTATAGCTCGACTCACGATCTACATATTAGCAATACAAGATTTGATCCAATGTGCAACTCGTAGTATTGATGTGAATTAGATATAATGAAAATATGTGTTAGCAAGAGATCGCTGATTATATTAACTTGATAATTGTTTATAAAAATTAAAAAACTTGATTTAGTCGAACATCTCTTATACTTAATAATATATGACGAGAAAATCTGTTCGTTGGTTATTTTATCTGTAAATATACTCATGAAAAAGAAGCAAAAACAAATACTACCACATAATCATAAGTTGATTTTCTTCGATATTGATTCATTCTATAAGAATTCATTTTTTGAAAGATTAATTATCAATAAGGTTTCTAACAAATAAATATTTCGAAAATGATTCACATTCAAACAAATTTTGAAAATTATATTTACAAAAATCTTCTTATCAATATAAATATCTTCTCAATAATTGAACTTCTTTGATATTTAAAATAAACAGCTCAATTTTTTCCCAAGATTTGATCAACCATAATCTTTATAGTATTAAAATTTTAACATTTCAATTTGAAAAAAAAATCAACGCTCAAGCTTATATAGTCTATAGAAAATCTGTTTTCATATTTAGTAAAAAAAATATTTATGTGATTAGTAATCTCTTGTTTTCATTTATTCTCCAATTGTTAACTAAGAGTTAGAAAGGTTTTTCTTATTGAGAAAATATGTATACTTTTATTTGATTTTGTTTTACATCATTTGTTAACTTACTCGATTTTTATTTCTCTTTTGGAAATTTAAGTTCTCATTAAAGGTTATGCGTGTCTATAGCGTCAGATCAAACTACTTCAGTTTGACTGAAGAAAAGTACTTTTTAAAAATAAAATATTATCGGCAGAAGTAATGTGTGGAGAAAAAGAAACAATCATATTCGTTGCTCATGTCAACAAAAGTAAACAGCAGTAATACAAAAAAAATTTCTATTGTAAGTAGACGAAAAACGTAACACTGTTACGTGATGTTTTTCTTCCTTTTCAATCAAATAAGTTATCTTTCACAATATTTTAATAACAGTCTATATATTGAAAATTGTATACTCTTATTTAAGCTGTTTATTGATTCTTTAGTTTACATTTATAGATGATGAAAATAAATCGAGTGCAATGAAGACATCCTCATCAGTAGATGCTGACGGAGTAGTTTTTGTTACTGTAATCAAAATCAATTTCTCTTTCATTTTTATCACAATAGAAGTACTATTTTAGATGACTTATTATATGTTCTGATAGAGTTGTAAATCGTCTACCATCCTGTATATCTGTATCTTGCCTTGTATTTATGTGCTAAAGCAGAAATAGAGTATTAGGTAAATAATCTCGTTGAGAAATCACAACAACTTGTGTTTTCTAGTGACGCTTTCCTTTTCATTTCAACTTTATTGTCGGTATAAAGATACCTTTTTGAAACAAGCAATTATATTCTCTAATACTGCTAAGAGTTGCCTGATGCGAGTTCGAATACCAAAGAGCCTTCAAGTGTTATCCTTGAAATACACAGTAACTCAATTTAGAATTTTGCCATGGTTTTTACTTTGTGGATTGTGAGACGCTATATTTTATGGTATTCCTGAACCTGTAGAAAAACTAGTTGCGAATGCAACATGATCTCACAATTCTAATGTTATATTTAACGCTGACTCATAAGCTGATTAGCAGCCTGAAGAAATAAAGATTCTAAAAGTCTTTATCGTTTACATTTGTTATCTACCTCGCAAGGTTTGAATCCACTATGAGCCATCATTGAATTATGCTTCGCAACGGAAAAAGTCTAATCACATCCACAAGAAAGTGGATGATCACTGAATCTTCACTTGTCAAGCTCAAAGACTTGAATTAGTGACGTATGTGATGCGGTTTTATTATATCCGAATCGTGAGAACACTGAACTTGTGGATGTGGGTGTGGGTGTTGCTCTGCCGTTAATCTATCCATACCTACCAACATACTTACACCTAGGGATGTGATAGCTCCAGCTCAGTTGGTTGAGCGGGAGCTCTACCTAGGGATGATCCCTTGAACTCTTCTGGGGTTACCCAGTGGTAATCACTATAAGGTTTCTATGACTATTTAGCAGTGATTCTTACAATATTTCTAGAGGTATCTACGAATGATTTCTACAGCTTTTTAACATCCACATCATCCAAAATTAAGTTCAACTGGTCACATCTGCCAAATGTCATTGAATTTCGAGTTTTTCATTATTGGTTTAGAAATGAACCATGCTTTTGTTCAGACCATATGAAAGAGCATCAATGCTACTTCTTAGATTAACTCGAACGCCAATATGTTTCATCCTTATGGCAAAAAGAATTCTTTCTTATGAGAACTGGTTATTTCGTGAGTTAGTTACTTCGACTAATCAGATTCAATGATATATTATCTGCACTATTCTAAGGAGTAATTGCGATAATAATCGGTTTATACAAAGAAGATTCCGTATGCGT